TTGATTTGTTTACTGCCTGTCTTCACTAAATTTAAAAACATACATTTTACGGGCCACTAGAAAATATGATTTAGAAGAAGCCAATTGTTGGTAATATATGTGAGCTTTCTATTTTTTGTAATTTTATGTTTTTTAATTCACCGTAAATTTCTTTTATGGACTCTATACAAGTATACACAGGCGATAAAAAGTATAGAACCGGTTCAAACATCTTGGTTCCATACTTTTAAGAAACTGTTTTTTTTTTAATAAAATGAAAAATTTGTATAAGGTAATATCGATATTGCTCTGCCCCATAATTCCAAAATCCATATTTCCTTGGAAAAATGTACCATTTTAATCATGTTCTAAGTTTCTTGTGAAAAAATGGCTATGTATATTAAGAAAAGAAAAGGAAAATATAAGCCCCGCCCACCCACCCTGTCTCAATTCTGATGATATTTTTTATTCGTCGTAAGCCGAGTGCCAGCGTGTGAAATATGTTGTTAAGTAATCGTGTTATACAAAGAAAACTAAATATATTAATTTAAAAAAGTAAACCAAAAGAAAAACCCCACCCATTGTTGATAACATATATATGTTCTCTTTCTATTTTTTGTAATTTTACGTTTTTTAATTCACCCTAAATTTCTTTTATGAACTATATTACAAGTATACAGAGTCGATAAAAAGTATAGAACTGGGTCAGTACGTGACACGTCACTGTAGTCTTTAAAAACATCTTGTTGGTTCCATACTTTTAAGGAATTGTTTTTTTTTAATATATGTACTCTTCTTTTCTTAATAAGAAACTTAAAGCATGTTAAAAATGGTAAATTTTTGTAGAGAAATATGAATCTTGCAATTAAGCTCCGCCTCCCGGCTCACGACGTTTTTTATTCGTCGTCAGCCGAGGGGCGGAAGTTAATTGTAAAATTCATATTTCTCGACAAAAATTTACCATTTTAAACGTGTTTTACGATTCTAAGAATAAAAAAAATCATTACAATTGAGATGGGGTGGGTGGGCGGGGTTAATATTTTGCCATTTTTTCTTAATATACATAGTATTCTTTGAACAATACCATACTGAAACAATGTTTTTAATTTCTTCTAAAGAAATAAGTATTTTGCAGTTAAGCCCCGCCCCCTTGATTCACGGCGAATAAAAAAATCATCAGAATTGAGATAGGGCGGGTGGGCGGGCTTACATTTTGCCTTTTTATTTTAATATGTGTAGACTTCTTTTCACTACATGAAACTAATAATTGCAAAATCCATATTTCCTTGCAAAAATGTACCATGTTCTAAGTTTCTTGTTGTGAAAAAAATGGCTATGTATATTAAGAAAAAAAAAGACAAAATATAAGCCCCGCCCACCCACCCGATCTCAATTCTAATGAATTTTGTAAATAAGCTCTGCCGCTCACAACGAATAAAAAAATCTGGAATAGGGCGGGTGGGTGTAGCTTATATTTAGCTTGTTTTTTTTTATATATGTAGTCTTCTTTTCATAACAAGAAACTTAAAAGATGTTCAAAATGGTAAATTTTTGTATAAAAATATGGGTTTTGCAATTAAGCTCCACCCCTAAGGCACACGACGAATAAGAAAAATTATCACAACTGCGATAGGGTGGGTGGGCGGGGGTTATATTTGTTTGTTTTTTTTAGACATATGTAATGTTTTCATAACAAGAAACTTAAAACATCTTCAAAATGGTACATTTTTGTAGAAAAATGTGGGTTTAGAATTAAGCTCCACCCCTAAGACTCACAACGAATAAAAAAATTATCACAACTGCGATAGGGCGGGTGGCCGGGGCTTATATTTAACCTTGTTTTTTTTTAGATATATGTAATCTTCTTTTCATAACAAGAAACTTGAAGCTTGCAATTAGGCTCCGCCCCCGGCTACAACGTTTTTTATTCGTCGTGAGGCGAGAGGCGGAACTTTATAATATTTTGCCTTTTTTTCTTAATATACATAGTATTCTTTGAACAATACGATACTGAAAACATGTTTTTAATTTCTTGTAAAGAAATAAATATTTTACAGTTAAGCTTGATTCACGACGAATAAAAAAAATCTTCACAATTGAGATAGGGCGGGTGGGCGGGCTTACATTTTGCCTTTTTATTTTAATATGTGTAGACTTCTTTTCACTACATGAAACTTAAAACATGTTTAGAATGAAAAATTTGTATAAGAAAATATCGATTTCGCAATTAAGCTCCGCCCCATAATTGCAAAATCCATATTTCCTTGCAAAAATGTACCATGAAAAGACAAAATATAAGCCCCACCCACCCACCCGATCTCAATTCTGATGAATTTTGTAATTAAGCTCTGCCGCCCGGCTCACAAACGAATAAAAAAATCATCACAACTGGAATAGGGCGGGTGGGCGGAGTTTATATTTAGCTTGTTTTTTTTAATATATGTAATATTCTTTTCATCACAAGAAATTTAAAACATGTTCAAAATGGTAAATTTTTTATAGAAATATGGGTTTTGTAATTAAGCTCCACCCTCCAGGCTCACGACGAATGAGAAAAATTATCACAACTGCGATAGGGTGGGTGGGCGGGGGTTATATTTGTTTTTTTTTAACATATGTAATCTTTTCATAACAAGAAACCTAAAACATGTTGAAAATGGTACATTTTTGTAGAGAAATAAGGGTTTTGCAATTAACCTCCACCCCCCCAGCCTCACGACGAATAAGAAAAATTATCACAATTGCGATAGGGTGGGTGGGCGGGGCTTATACTTATTTTTTTTGGATATATATAATCTTTTTTTCATAACAAGAAGCTTAAAACATGTTCAAAATGGTAAATTGTAGAGAAATATGGATTTTGCAATTAAGCTCCACCCCCTGGCTAAATAATAAAATGTCGCTTCTCCGGGGAAATTTTTGTGCAGAGATTCATTGAATAGATTGCTGCAATCACGTCACCAACTCGCCCCAGGGAATGAATAAATAAACTTGAATGAATGTTCTATTCTAAGAAATATGTATATATTGTAATTTCTGTGACAAATTCCAAAATTTGCTTAATTGTTTTGGTATGACATCATGAGACACAGGGAGCTAAAGAGGGCTTGCATTATCGTACTCGTGATACTTCCTGTAGTGTTTGCCGAGGAAGTAGAAAAATAATTAAACATATCGTGCGAAAAGGGGGAAATTACAGTTGGGTGTGCCTTTAAAAGTGTTTATTTGGCTTCCTGCATGTCGTAAGATGTTGTTGACATGTTTTTAGGTTAAGATTAAATATCACTGTGACATGCTTGTATGCATTACGTGGAACTGTGTATTAATTCACAGAAATACGATTTTAATTTCTGTGACATAACATGGCCAACTCTAATTCTCATTTTCATCAAACACTCTATTTTTACTTTCCGACTGTAAGCTAGCTGTTTTTTCGACCTTTCTTAACCCGTAGAGTACGAAGAAATAGGTCTCCCATTTCCGTCTGTCTGTCTGACTGTTTGCCATCTGTCCGGATTTTTATTAGACACAGATAATCTCGGAAACTACTCGACCGATTGTTGGCAAATTTTGTATGTATATTAGGATTGTCATGTAGATTATAAAACGGTAACTAAAATTTGACTAATCATCCCCAGCACCAATGGGTGACGTCATTTCCAAAAGTTACAACAGTATTTTTTCTAATTTTATAAATTTATTTAAATTTTTGGAAAAAAAATGAAATTTGTATAACAATATTTTGCAATTTAACTTTGAAACTGCAAAACTAAATGCTCTGAATTTTTTAGAAAAGTCTGCTGTCAAACTATTTGTTGCATTTTCAAAACACTCAGAATACTGCAGGAGGGTTATTAAATATTGTATTCTACAATTATAATGCAAAATTAAATGAACTCTGTTGAAATCATTGATTTAAGTAGGTATTTTAAAATTAATCCATTTTCGAAATTATCGTTTATCTTTAACTACCAGCTCCTACTACTAAATTGTAATTTCCATCGCGAAGGTGTTTATTATTTTCCAATCTTGAAACACCGAATTGTGGCTTTTAATGAAAGTGGCAAAATTTCGAATTTAAAAAAAATTCTAATCTAAAATGGATCTGCGTATCCGAATTTAAGCTTGTTTTGTAAGTTTTTAATTATTTTCAGAATTCATTTTGAGTTACACAATAATATTTTTTAGTAAGAATAATTTCTTACTTTAATTAAAGAATTAATTAAAATAACTTGTGACTGTTCCGTATTCAATGAAGAGGAAAATAGCAATGTAATTAAAAAATTTGTCCTATTTATTTTGTGTTAATGTTTCGTCAGAATTTGAATTTTCATTAAATTAAAAATATTTTTTTGATGACAATCTGACGTTCAAAAGATTTGTAGTAAACAGAACGGATGTCACTCATGTCGTATTATGTAAATTGCGTTTGTTATGAATTTCTCCTCATTTCGAGTACAACTTAGTTCTGCGAATCGATAGTAAAATGCAACTGCGAGTAAAATTAGAACTGCTAATTATTTTCACATTTTCGACTACGAAAACTCCGAATTTCTACCACGTTAAATTTAGACTACATTTGAGGCCGTAAAATCAAAAAAAGAGCGTGTAATCAAGCAATAAGACAAACAAATCTGAACCCAAACTTTGGTTGTGTTAATTAAGCTTAAAATTGTCTAAAAAAATAATCTCAGGTCATCTCTCATCGCATTCCCCTCAAGCAACCGAATTTTCTAATAATAGCCCGTATCAGCTCATTATCTCGTCGCAGAAATCCGCCAACAACAGTCCAAGAACTCCAAAAACTCCTTCCCCACGCGCCGGAAAGCCCCAAGCCTCCAGCCTCCAATCCGCCCATCGACTTTCACCACCCGCCGAAAAAAGCCCGATGGGCCCCTCCATGGGGTGGCTGGTGGGGCGCCCATCGCCCATTGGCCGAAATCCGGATGCGTTATCCTAAAGCTCGGCCGCTCCATCCTACAGGATAAATAGAAGGAGCCGCCACAGAGTAGGGGAATAGTACATAGTCGTACGTCGTGCTTTCTTAGCAATCAGTTTACACTAGGCTGTCGACGCGTTTGTATCTACGTCACAGTGTCACCTTTTATTACATAAAGTCGTATCTGAAGATGCACTCGAGATAAAACCGTGTGAAGTGTTGTGAATCGAAAAAGTGTAACATGATCACGTGGGCGGTGTTGGCGGCGCTGCTCGCCGTCGCCGGGGCCAGGACCAAGGCGCCCCTGATTGACGAGAGCACCAGGACGAGGAACAAGGCGGCAGGTAGGACCTAAGCCTAAACCTAAACCTAGTTTGCGTAACGGCGCGATTCAGCCGCGCTGAACTTTGACATCACCTGATGTTTGTTTATTTCGCGCTGGACGCTGAGGAGGATTGTTTGGGGCCGTGTCAAGGTCGCGCCTGATAACGACGTCCACCGCGAAAATAAATTTTCGGAAAATTGTAATTATATCCCGCCTTATCGAGAGATACAAGCGATAACTGTTACTTCAGTAGCACTTCAATTAATCTGTGATAACGCCGAAAACGATGTGTTTTGGTCGGGCTTGACATAATCGCGCGGACAATGAAGTTGATGTCACTTCCGTTTTTTTTAAGGTTTGGTTGCGCCAGGAAACTAGCAACTTTCGGCTTGTCGAAACCCAACCGTCTCACTTTGATTTGATTTTTTTTTTTTGCAAAAGTGGACGAGGGTCAGCTTTTTTGATAATCGCGATGGTTTAATGAGTGGTTTTTGGCGGCCTTGAGATGTCCGGGTGAATTTATTTATTTTGTACGTGATTGCTGTTTACGGTGTAACCAATATAGACTGGATTTGATCTAGATTCGATAAGTCGAATTTTTGATCTAAAATTGTTTGCTTGGAGATTTCTACTTCTGATTTTGCGTGTCATTGTTTGGTTCTCAGCGATAACCACTACCTGGAATGGCAACAAGTCGAGCCGTTGTAAATGTTTACGGAAATCTGATTCCCAAATTAAAAATCCCCGGCACCAATTTTTGAATGTAGTTGCTATCGGTGACAGTGTTTGCTTAATGATTTAAACTGATTTTTATTTGGTTTATGTTTGTTGTTAACGCTAAATCACCAAAGTGTACTCTGAAAATAAAATTAATACCGCTTAAAGTGCACTTGAAACCTATTAAAGTCTGGTTTTAAATGGTTCTAGTAACTAGGTTATTCGTAACGCGAAAAAAGTATAAGCAAATTTGAATTGTCCCTAGGGACAAAAATGTTCTCAAGACGCTAAAAAAATTACTTAGGTAAACGTTGTTTACTAAAAACCATGATGTTTCACTCTATCATGATTAACTGCAGCTGTATGAATGTTAATTGTTGACTGTTCATCGCCCATTAGAATTTCTTTTGCGGTTTGAACTTTATTGTTGAGCGAATTCTCGACATAACCCCGCGACCACTGTTCGAGACTTCCAGCGACCTGGACATTAATATAGTGCAAGCGTTGGCTCGCAAACACACCTAAAACAGTGACCTGTGTATATTTAGGGTTAGGGAGTTGCATAAAAATTGTCAATTTATTGCGGTAATTACCTAAATGAATTTTTTCAAACCCATTACTCTCATCTTTGTACTAAACGGAAAATCGAAAGATGCTTTAAAAAAATGTTCATGCAGGGAAAAGTCTAAAAAATCAAGGATTTTGTAAATTATATGGTCATACATATGCAACTGTGGAAAACCCGTGTGCGTGGAATCAAGTCTTGGTTTATCCCCATCGACATTTACCAAATTTGAATATCAATTTTGATTCCACTGTAGAAATCTTTTATAAACCCGCCTCCGTATGAATGAGTAGCACTTTGCTCGCCGACCTTGCCGCCATTTCCCCATCTCCACAGACAAAAAAGGAAATTAATAACCGAGGCGCATTTCCGCCTGCAAAAACACATCCATACACCAAAACACCCGAACCGGAGCCGTTTATTTGCCATCGCAGTTATTATTTGTTGTCGTAACTAAAAATAGCCGGCGCCAGCGATTGTTAAAATTTCGTGCCAACGTCTCCGCCAATTTGTTTATTATTACTTAATGCTTTTGCAACATTTTTCCTTTTTGTGTTGCTGGCGCATTCCGTCTCGTCGGAGTGGGATAACGTTGCATCCAAAACAATTATAGTTGCGATGGACGCGTCGCGACGCCGCCGACGGCTATTTGGAGCTGGACTCGATTCAGGTCGTCCACTCCGACACGGCGACCTTCTCGTATCGATGGCGTTTTTTCGCTGATTTTACTTATCGGAAATGGGAATCGTGGACGTGGAGGTATGTGACGAGCCGACAATGTCCGTGTGATCAGGGCTGGACTCGAAATGGAAATGAGACGGTTATGTGCATGCGGACGTGACACAGGTGGCTGCAAAAAACCGAGATGCGCACATCGGGAGGACGGGAGGAATGCGGCCCTGATGATGCGCGCAACACCGACGAAACTGGGACGCTTTTTTTCAAAAACCGAATTTCACGTTCATTTACGTCTTTTAAACATTCTTTTGTTGCGACGTATCTTAACCAACACGTAGAATTTTCGGAGGATCCTCTTTCAAAAAATGACACCGTTTTTAAATGTGATGGATCTCACCATAAATTTTTTTAGTGAAACCACATATTTTTGTTTACATAATTGAAAACCGTTTTACGCAACAATTACAACACGCCACATACCGCATACACATGCGACAGAAACATTAAGACACACGTCATCATATCGTAAAGACGCGCCACTAGAAATCCGCAGACTTGTGGAATTATAATTAAATCAAAAACATCTACGACGACATAAATCCACCCATCACTTACAAGATTATTTGTTATGAAGGGTCGATTGCACGGTTGTGTTTTTTGCAAGCCGGGCTTGACGGGCGAGGTTTGTGGGGCTTGGGTGACGTTCGCCTGAGTAATTGTGCCTTTAGCGTTTGGTCCATGATCTGCTTCGTTTTTGTTTCTTCAATCGGCGACTTAGTCATAATCCGCATCCGAGTCTCGTTTGCAGCTAACCTTGCCCGTTCACGTCTCAAAAAATCATTAATGCAAAATCATCGATATTTAATGAACACGTCTGCGAAAGCGCGATAAAAATCAGCGGTAAACGTAAACAAACAGAATTTTTTCAGTTCCGTGTGATTTCGGAGGCCGCTCGAGGGGGCGTCGCGACATTTCCCCCTAAAAAATTAAATACCACCCAATTAAAAAAAAACCTCCGTAACGAGCACACATCGAGCCGTATTTGCATAATAAGTAGTTTTTAAAAATAGCCACACCGAGGGATTTTTTGCAAATGTCAACATTACATGTAGCTAAAAATTAATTTACTGCTTAATTACTTCTCTCTCTCCGCGAGTCCCGGTAATTTATTAACACATTTACCTTGAAAATTAATGTTCTATTTGGCATCATCGTATTTACATAATGATTGTTGTGAAATTGGCGTAAAAATACACCGTATTTGCCAGGAGTGAGGTTAACGACATTTCGATTTTCGAAACTAATCGAGTGCAACCAATTCGCTCATATTGTGGACAGTTTTGGGCAAGCGGAGGCCAACGGCCAACGAAAATCGGTTTATTTCATTATTCATTCGTGTTTGTTGTCTTAACGGCTGCATGTGTGCGCGTTGAACGCCGGTTTATTTTATTTGGGCGCTGATAGCAATAATAATGCTGATGGCATGATGATAGGTTAGTTCGCGCCGACGGACCTGGCGGCGAAAGCCCGGAATCCTAGAGGACAGCTTTCGGACCATAAAACCCAAAAGGAGTGCCACTGACGTCCACTAGACGTTCATTCATCGCGCCGATCTCCTATTTGGATATCTAATTCGCGAAAGACGAATGTTTATCGAATGTCTACAGCAGATTTTCATTCATTGCTCGCTGCAGAGAAAGTCCGGGTTTGTGGTAAACTGAACCGCAGTCTGGGATTTGGTAGACGCTTCCTAAATTGTAAACACGAAGCCGCGTTATGTCCATCCGCGGGTTTTGGTTTATTGCAGTTCTGCTTGATCCAGATGGGGCTGCGGTTGACTAGCTGTAAACACGAAAAATGAACATTTGTTCATTGTCTGTTCTACATCTATCTGCGGATTTTTTCGTTCAATGTTTGCAGTATGAATACTTGGTTCTGTTATTTTAGTGACTTAATTTACAGAAAATGCCCGCTGAATATCTACTGTACATCCGTCAATATAATGTTCGTGCATTGTAGTGGTCAGGATGCACGGATGAATCCACCACTTGAATATCTAATTGACAAGCCATAAATGTGAAGCTTGTGTGTTCGTTAAATATCCATCTACATCCATCCGCAGATTTTCATTCATTATTTGATCCAGTGAAGATCCTAATTGTCAGAAAATGACTCATTTAAACGACTCTTTAAATGTGGAATATCCACAATTTCGTGATCTAGATGGTTCAATTTCTTGAAACCGCCTGGATTTTCATTTGATTGATTAATCAATTTTCATTAAGATCCAGAGAAGGTCCTAATTGCGTCTAAACTGAATCTATTTTTGAAATGTTTAAACTATCTTCAAACGGGAAATATCCACATAATAGCGATCTACATAGTTTAATTTCCTGGAACATTTGCATATCTATTTTTGACAATCCATAAGTGTGAACTGGATGTTCGTTAAATATTCATCTACGTCTGTTTACAAATTTTCATTCATTACTTGATCTAGAGAAGGTCCTAGTTGCCTGTAAACTGACTCTTAAGCTTTGAAATATTTAAGAAACAATCTTTAAATGGAAAATATCCACATATTTCCTGGAACCATTTGAATGAATATCTATAGTGTGAAGCCTGAATCATTGTTAAATGCTCATCTATATCTATTTGCAAATTTTCTTTCGTTATTTGATCCAAAGAAGGTACTAGTTGTCTGTAAACTGCATCTAGGGTTGAAATATTCAATTTTTTGGAACCACTTGAATATTCGATTGATTGATCAGGGCAATTTCGTTAAATATCCATCTCCATCTCATTGTTTGATCTAGAGCAGCTCTTAATTGCCTGTAAACTGATGGGACGTGCTGAACCGGCACCTGAAATTTTACATTATTATTAAAAATATATAATATATAAAATTTGTATTTGGGCACCTGCGCCCTAGTGTACCACGGCCACTAGCGCCGGTGGAAAATTCCCAATTTCTAGATGGTGAATTTTTCTAAGGAAATTTGAAAGATTCTTTGGGACCACCTGTTGTGTCTTGGTTTTCAAGTAATTTGAAAGAATCT